CTCCAAAGAGAGGTCTGACCTTTGCACTTGGCTCCTGGGAGGATCTAAATACTTGGAATTTCCAACCTGAGAAAAGTCTCTTGTTCAGCCAGATGCCCTGGGTCATGCCAGACATTAAACAATGTAATTCATGGTTTGGGCTTTGAGTCTCGTGTTATCAACTTAGCCTCTGGAAGGGTTGGAATCTGATGGTCAGCCATATGTAACATGACTGAACCCCAATAAAACTTCTCGATGCCAAGGCTCCAACAAGCCTCCTTGCTTGCGACAACACATGCACCCTGATACTCAGCACTTCTGGGAAGAGTCAACACTGTGCACAGCTCCACAGGGAGACAACCAGAAGCTTCAAGCTTGAAACACTCCTGGACAGTGCCCTGTAAGCATCTTTCTTTGGTTGATTTCAATCGGTTTCCTTTCTGTATAATAAATCAAAAACTGTGATGATAACAGCGTTCAGTGAGTTCTGAGAGTCCTTCAGTGAATTATGGGGTCTGGAGGTGATCTGTCTCAAGGACCTCCAAATTTGCAGCTAGTATCAGAAGTGAAGTTGATCTTAGGAATTCTGAAACTCTGCATATACACTGAAATATTTAGAGAAAAAGGGCCATGGTATATGTAAATTATCTTCAGGTGGTTCAGAAAAGATATTATAAACATTCATATATTTTCATATATATGTTTATATAATGGAAAAAGAAAGAACATGAGCACAAATTTTGAAGCTAATGAGGTAAAATGTCAATCTAGATAAAAGTTATATGAGTGTTCTTATTCTTTGACTTGTGCAAATTTCCCACAAACCTGAAGTTGTTTACAAATACACTGTTAAATTAAAAAAAATACTTCCCACAAACCAAGTTAATAAATAATTACTGGTGTCCTAAAAAACAATAACAAAAGTAAAAACTGAAATGACTTACTAAATTGATTGGGGTCCTAGTGAAGCAGGACCCAAATTTGCCTGTGTACAGATCAAAAGAGAGACTTTTGCTTGGAGGGAACCAGGGAAACACTGTGTCTGTTCTACAGAGATTACTAGCTGTTATGGTTTGGGTATGAGGTATCTCCCAAAAGCTCCTGTGTGAATGCAGGAGTAGTCAGAGTACAAGAGCTATAGCTTCATCAGTGAGATAACCAGGGATAGATTAATAATTTAAAGGGACTAAATGGGTGGGAACTGTGGCCAGGTGGAGGGTGGCTAGAGAAAGAGGTCCCTGGGGACATGCTTAAGGAGTTCAGATTTTGTCCCTGGAGTCTTGCAAAGACTTTCTCTGCTTTCTGCCTTCCTTGAGGTGAGCAGCTTTCCGATGCTACAACTCTTACAGTGAAGTTCTGCTTTACCCAGAGCAATGGCACTGGCCAACCTTGGACCTGTGGAACTCTAAGACAAAAAAAGCTTTTCCTTCTCTTGAGTAGTTCTTGTCAGGTATTTTGGTCACAGTGATGAAAAGTTAATAAACACACTTTGACTCTCAAGCACCCAAGCACAGAGAATGATTCCAGGAGTCCCAAAGCTTCCAAATGCTGAGCCCACAGAGACACCCAGGAGGCTGCCAATACACAGGTGCCTGTCCTCACCCACTGAGAGCAGGTTCCTGAAGTTCTCCAGCATCACATCTCGGTACAGCTTCCTCTGAGCACAGTCCAGCAGCCCCAGCTCCTCCTCACTGAAGACCACAGCAACGTCCTTGAACGTCACCATTTCCTAGAATACCAAACACACCAAGACTATGTTTATGGGAGAGGGGCAGCACTGATAAAGTATAAATGGTGGGGAGCTGTTCTGGATTCTGAAGGATTCAAGTCAAATTTTTTTTCACGTTTTTTGGTTGGTGCCTTATAGTTGTACTCAAGTCCAATTTCAGTAGCTGTTTCTGTCTGCCTTCTATAATGTTGGTTCCATCAACCAAAGGAGCTGGAGGGAAAAAAAATCCTTATACTTTACATTACTTCCTTTTCTTGGCACTCCTACAGGTACCCAGAACTCTGTTGCATCTGGGCTATTAATGTTTTAAATTTTATTAATAAAGCCATTTGCACCAGAAAAGCTTTAGTTCCAACAGTGTAGGGTGGTATCTGTGTCTCTACTTCCCTGTGCATGCTACACAAATTTACCAAATTTACAGGAGATCATTGCTCTTATTGCTCAAGTATGTTCCCATCCTCTTGCCACATCTTGAACTGTAGCTTTTATAGCTGCTGAGGTTATGGGCACAGCTCTGGAGACTGAGTGCTTGTGTTCACATCTGGATGCTTGACCCTATGCTAGCTGTATGGTCTTCCACAAGTTTCTTCTCTCATTTTTATGCTAATAATTATACCATAGGG